ATAAAATTTTATTAAATGCTAAATTGTGGGTTCTGGAGGTACATATATTATTGCTGATACAGCATATCCACTTCAAACATACTTGATAAAAGTATATCCTGATTATGACACACTAACACAAAGAGAAAGATGTTTTAATAAAGTTTTATCATCGATGAGAATGGTTATAGAACGTGCATTTGGGTGTTTGAAAAGGAGATAGAGGATTTTATTAAACAAAATATATTGTACTGATATGGAACGAATTGTTAAAATCATACATGCATGTTGTATATTACATAATTTGTGCATTGATATAGGAGATTTGTATTTATTTGAAGATAGCGAATTAGAAAACAGTACAAGCAGTGAAGAGAATAATATAAACAAATTCATATCAGCAGATGAAACAAGAGAAGAAATGGCGAGTGTTTAGAAAAGAGAATATTTAACAAATTTATATTAAACAAGCATCAGTATTTAATAGCAAATCATTATATAGCAATATATTATCATATTTTCATTTATTTAAAATTTTAGCAGAAATTGCCTAAAAATATCCATTTGTTTATCGTGTTGTTTTTGTTGGACCTTTGAAGCATGCATATATTGATCTTTAATAATTTCCATAATCATGTCTGTTTGCTTTTTAATAAGAGCCCGAATTTCTTCAATATTCAATTTGTCTTCATTATGTGTGCTTTTTCATTTTCTAGTTTCATTTTATATAATTTGTAATATTTAATTGGAATAAAAAAAAAAAAAAAAAAAGCAAATGATTTTTACCTAATCTTTGTCTTGATTTTACGCTTAATTCTATGAATCAAATTGCTTGTAATAGATGCAGTTATACTCGGATCCCTTTTTAAATATGCATCAATATCATCAAAAAATTTCTAGTCATTTTGAATAGCTTCTTCTTCTGTAGTTGCAATTCTATCTTTCATATCATAGTATTTTTGAAGAAGCACATCCTATTTTTGCTGAATTGAAGTTTTTGTATGCTCCTTTAATTCCTTTAATACAGAGCTTGCAGAATCAGAAGTCTGCACACATTTGAAATAATCATATCCCAGATCTGGCCTTTTTCTCTTGGATCTTTTACATTCTTTAATATTTCTTGATGACTTTCTACTTCATAAATAAGCATACAGATTTCTGATGAAGTCTATCGATTAGGTAATCTACTAGATGTATTAGATCTAATAGTGGTTGATGTTGATGTTAAATTATGAGGTATAGTAGAAATAGAGACAGCTCTTGGGTTAACGGCTATGGGATTAAGAGTTGAAGAATTTTTTTGATCACATGATATTAAGGAAAACTGTGATAATAAAATCTATACTTAAAAGAGTTATATAACTGTAAAAAATATATATATATATATATATTTTACTATTTCATTATATTTTGAAGCAATTTCATTGAAAGAATCCACCTGAAGTTGTGTAGCGGGAAATTGCCATTGTTGTAATGACAAATTATTTGTCAAATTTGTTAAAGAAGAATGAATAACTGGGGTTAAAGCTTTAGAAGGTAAAGGGTTAGTTACCAAGGGTTTTGGAGCTAAAGGCTTAGATGCTAACATTTTAAAAGAAAAAGTTTTGGGTGTTATTTTAGTTTTTTTTGGAGATATTAGTAATGATAATATTGTAATGATAATATTTTAATGATAGTAATATAACGATGGTAAGATAGAGAATGCTCAAGCACTGATCACAATCATTATTTCAATTGATCATAATGCTTATGCATCATCTCAATCACTATGCAATCACATAGAGGCAGATGCTTGAGAACAACCTAAATGCAATTACAAAAACATGTGACAAAAATCATTGTAAATATAAAAAATAATAGTACCCTATGAGGGTAGTTGCTATCCCATTAATTTGCAATGTGCATTATGAATAGATTCTATCTTAAAACGACTTAAATTCCAAAACAATATACTCGATGAAATAATTTGGAATACACTTAATTTTATTGTAAGTTGAATTAAAATTCTCTAATGACTTGGGCACATTTTAGAATTCTAATGCAATCTATATTTATTTTGAATCAACCTAGGTGGATTCTAAATCCACAATAATTCCATTCCAACGTACAACATATATACTGAATAAGATTTCTACTCTTTCTGAATTTGAAATATTTCATATTCCTCTACACAAAAGCAAGTTCCATTTTGGTTTCTAATTGCTTTTTCATATGAATAATGACTACAATAACAACTATTAGTTTGATTGGAGTTATTTCCCATATAAATATCATGCCCGCTGCCAAAAGTTGGTCCATAATTAGAAGCACAATAAATTGCATTTCGTGGATTTTTCACACGACTTAAAATGGAAGTTTGAATAGTACTATTTTTCAATGAAAAAATAAAGCTATCATTGCATTTTACAGAAATACCACTACTTGATTTATTCCATTGTATCGGATTATATCCACCAAGAATTTCATCAGTGCCATTAACCTTCGTTACTACAACAGTGTTTGCTTGCTTGTCACATAAATTCCAAAATGATTGTGCTGTAAAACCATCTCTTGTTCCACGA